TGAAACGACTGGACTGATTTCGATGAAGTTTTCAATGAATAAATTTGGTTGCGATCGATTTAATCTCAACCATTTGCGAGCGAAGCCGAATTTGATTGTGAAGTGAATAAAGAAAATTCATTCAGAACTTGTTCAGTTATATTCAAAAAGCCGTCAGTGAGACTAACGCATATAACGAGAAAATCTAAATATCGATTTTTTCAAGTTAATGAAGGCTGATGGATGCACTGTATCTGTCAGACGAATGATATATGTCATTCAAAGCATTCTACATTCGGCGTCTAACTGCGCCTACTAGCAATAAAAGAAAAAAAAACCTTTTATCGTATATACGCGGATTTTTTAATTTTGTTAAATTAGTAGAATTTACCACTATTGCAGATAGCTAATAGGAGTATTTTAGAAGAGAAGACAATGTATCTGACAAAGATACGTTCGAGGTATCTGTCCTGGTGAAGCTGGAAAGGCCCAGGGTCTACAGTAAGCCCTCAATCATAAAAAAACAAAACCGTTTGAGGTTAGCTCTGGAAATTTTCGATAGAATCCAAATCACTTATATGGAACACAGAGAGTACAACACTATTATTAACACTAATAATACCAACACTTACTGGTACCTATTTTTACCATAGCGGGTACACAAAGGTATATGACAAGTATTACTCAATATAAACAAAATAAAACAAACAGTATGTGTAAACTGTAGATTAATTGGTAAGAAAAAGTCATGAAGTCTTATGTGCTAAAGCTATAAGATGACACGTGCATTTTCAATGCAATATGTTTAGTGTTAAGTTAAAATTATTTGACAGAATAGGTATTACACTTGACGTGTTTATAAACGGGCTTGCGATAACCAGCAGTTCATCTGAGGCCTTGGCATTGGTAATTGGTGAATCTAGATTATGATATTCAGACTTTATTATTAGATAGTTGTCAAATTTAGTCGGACGAGTCGGATCTCAAAGTTTCCGAGGGAAAGCGTACGCGACGCTGAAAAATAGGTGATAAAAATTTAAGATATTATTATTAATACACTAGCTGGCCCGGCAAACGTTGTTTTGCCATATAAACTATTTCTAGGAAAGGAAATAACCTAGATACCGACTGCAGCGCCATCTACCGGGCTCGTTTGTAAATCTAAACCATTCTCGAATCCACCTGAAGGTACACAGAAAATTTCATTAAAATCGGTCCAGCCGTTTAGGAGGAGTTCAGTGACAAACACACGCACAGAATAAATATATATATAAAGATTAATAAAGAAAAATTATAGATATATTTTTGGATTCTGTAATAAAAAAACAACCAGCTCTACCGCGAAGCGCTTCTAGCGTGATTAATTATTAAAAACGATTGATCTATGTCTAGTCACGAAAGCGCTTTACGAAATCTAAAAGGGCTGTAATTCTATTGCTTTTCGTAAATGTCATTAATAAAGCCTTGTGGAAACCAATAGTGAATGTGAAATTTTCAATGACCATCTCCCATTACTTACAGCGTACAATTCGTCTTTTGGCATTAAAAGTGTACAATTTCTAAAAATATTCGAAATTGAGTTAATATGCGGAATAATTTGGTATCACCAGTATTTTTCTCATCAATACTGTGAAAAGAATGTAGTTTAGTTTTTTTTTTTTTTAGGTTACCTATGTTTTGACTGCTACTAACAAAATTAATACAAAATTTTATTTTACTTTAAAAGACAGAAAATGTAACTGGTAAAAAATAAAAAATAGATGTTGCAAAGATGATTAATATTAAAAAATATCACATGTTAAAGCTTTAAAACATTCTCCTGTAAAATTAGTAAGTTTTGAGATTATACAGTTTTAATGCGANTTTTTTTTTTAGGTTACCTATGTTTTGACTGCTACTAACAAAATTAATACAAAATTTTATTTTACTTTAAAAGACAGAAAATGTAACTGGTAAAAAATAAAAAATAGATGTTGCAAAGATGATTAATATTAAAAAATATCACATGTTAAAGCTTTAAAACATTCTCCTGTAAAATTAGTAAGTTTTGAGATTATACAGTTTTAATGCGAGAAGACGAATTGTGATTTTAAAATCGTTAATTGTTCAGGTAATCATTGGTATTTTGCGGATCCATCAAATACGAACTCACTGCGACCAGGGCATAGCTAAATTTAGGCATTTTCTTTTGTTCCATAAGCGCTTTTTTTCCCGTAAGTTTCGACGCGTTCATAACATTTCGACGAAGACAGCTTTTATTAGCTTCCACGACAGCTTTAACGGTATTAACCGCACTTCTAACGCTAGTTTTATTTACCTTGAAGTTTCATCTGAGTCATGATACAGTAAATAAATCTCTTTATCAAATTTTCTCAATTCATTTGCCGTTTAGCCTAAATCAAGACATGTGATGTATCTTCACAGTTTTCTAATTAACATATGTTAATGTTTAACATTAGCTTGAACACAACATTGAAATTTTAAGTTTTATTTATAGATTAATTGTTTACAGAACAATGCATTAGGTCGGGGACATTCCGAAGCGGACATTATTCGAATTTAATTTCTTGTTTTTATGTCCCTTTTTAGTTTGGAATTAGCTTTTTATTTTATTTTTCAAATTTTTTATATAGTAAACGTATTTGGTGGGTACTGTGGGTAGTCACAATTTTGTTGTATAATATGTCCTACCTTTAATAGGATACGATTGGCACCCGTAACATATGATTGCCGCCTCTTATTGAATTCAATTGATAATTCAATGGTATTATAATTAACTAGCGGCCCGCTCCGGCTCCGTTCGGGTCTTTAACAAAAATTTCAACGCTGTTGTTTTATTTGTTTAAATAAAAGAACACGTATTGCGGCATAACTACATATGCTGAAACTTTTTGTAAATAATAATGTGTTCTACAAAGTCGTAGTATATTATTTTATTCTATCATCAATAGTTTTCGCAGGGCACGCGATGTAAAGAATATTTTAGGTATTTTTTTTACACCCAGTTTTAGTAAGGATCCCTAATTTTTTTCAAAAAATATTATAGCCTATGACACTCGGGAATAGTGTAGTTTCCAAACAGTGAAAGAGTTTTTCAACTACGAACTACGCATTTTGATAGTAGAGCTGAAACTGTAATTTGACAATGACATTACCAAAGACGAATTTCTAATCATTCGTTGTCTCTAAAATTGACTTATTTCGCTTGAGCGAATTTTAACCCTTTAAACAGATAGGTACTTTAGTAATATAAAATAAGTTTTTTTTATTACTTAGATGGGTGGTAGAGCTCACAGCCCATCTAGTGTTAAATGGTTACTGGAGCCCATAGGCATCTACAACGTAAATGCCAACCACCTTGGGATGTAAGTTCTAAGGTCTCAGTATAGTTACAACGGCTGCCCCACCCTTCAAACCGAAACGCATTACTGCTTCACGGCAAAAATAGGCGGGTGATACCTACCCGTGCGGACTCACTAGAGGTCCTACCACCAGTAACCATTCTATTCACATTTAAAAGTACTTTTACGGTTTAATCTCGCGTTTTATATTGTTATTTGTGACGTATGTCGTTCGTAACCACGAAAACTGTAAAGTATTTCAAAGCGTCGGTTATAATGTAAAGACAATGAAAAAAGTAAAAGTTATTTTAATTATATTCATGATTCGCGAAAACCGACGGAAACACTAGTCTTCTTTCCAATTAAAAATGATGTCTTCGTATCTTTGACTTTGTGAATATACCACAGAATATACTTGTGAATATACTCTAGAGAATATGCCACATCCTCATTGGATAGTGTATTTAGTAAAAATGACGGTAATTTAAGCTTAGGCTGTAATTGTTTCGTCTCTTTTTTAACTACCAATGAAAAAATGGCTTCTTATAAGTAAATTATCAAGATTTGACAAGTTTATTTTAAAATTCCACATTCCGCCGCGGCAAATAAAGATTTTCTCTTGTTACCAGTCTAAAAGGCGTAAAAATTTGTCTAAGACCATTACACGCGGAGCATCTACGCCAATACTCCGATACAAGATCTGGACTCAGCATTTGAATATTCCAATGAAACTACAGCGGTTTTAAAACTCTTTAAAAAAAACGCAGTCTTAACCAGAGCCGGGATAGTTGAAGCTAAAAGTAAGTTCACCAATTCAATACAGTCAATATGCCCGCTCGCTTCCGTCATTTCTAATTTCACGAAACAGTTTGAAAATCACCGTGCTGTACAATTTCATTCTTAAAAACTATCTAAAATTATCATGAGACTGTCACTAAATGCGTATGTCTAACTGAAAACCGGTCTATTTCCACTAAACTATTATTTGACTAATCAAAAATGGACACCAGAAAATTGTGGTATATTTGTTTATTCACACAATTTCCTGATATCTCCTCAGCTTACTGTTGTAAATGGTGGCGTGCTTACAAAACGTGAATATAATCACAGTTCAAATTACATTTTATTAACAATCAAGATGAGCAACGTCAATTGTTAATAAAATGAAATCAATTTAAAATGATGAAAAAATTTTCACATAACCTAAAAGTGTATTTGAAATGTTCTATTTCGCGGGGTTTTTTTTTTCTTTTCTTTCTACAGCTGAAAAAAGGTAAAATGCAATATCAGTCGCGTTTTTTTTTTGTTTCTTTCTTTTACGTTGTCATTATTTTAATACATTCCGGTATATCACATAATTAATTAAAAGCATACATAGTAGTGATAAAAATTATATACTAAAATAAAACCGAAAATCACAGTTAATTCCTGGACAAGATTCATAAACTCGCCCCGAATTTTTTTTTATCGTAAAATACTAAATATCAGGGGAATATAAAAAAAAAGAAATGTCTTTTGAACTAATAAAAAAAAACTACCTATTTTTAAAGGCTTCCCTAACCGTAATTGATCCGACAGATCACTAGACGAGTGTGCTGAGTGCGAGTTTTTAACGTTCTCGATAACGTAAAAGTTAACTCAAATTTGTATGCAATTGGGACAGCGCCCTTAGCGGCAAACGTAGGGAAACGTTCCGACTTCATTAAATTTTAGTTAACTTTTACGCTATCGAAAACGTTAAAAAACGCGCACTAAGCACACAGACCTTACACGAATATTCACCGTTGCATTATCGAAAAAAAAAAAAATAACGTTAAATTTCTAACGGTTTATAAAACCTAATTATCATTAATATACATTTTAACGTTTTTTTTTTTACTAGAAATATACAACTCAAGTCGTAAGTAACTACGTTATGTTGCAGACGAAAACCAAGTGTTTTTTTAATTTTAATTATAGTATTATCATTTCGATTATTTTGTAGGCCCGATTATTATTACAATATTACAAATTTAGGCTCGATATTTTAAATGTTCCTTAGCGACTAACGTTTTTTTTTATTTCGTGTTACGTAAATATTTATATGGAACTATTATCCACTGACGTATAATAACACTGTTGATGAACGTTATTCAGTTATTCATGTCAATTTCTCAAATGAAAACGACATCTCACATTTTAGTTAGTACTTACAAAAATCCAAAATCCCATTATCAATCCGTTTTATGCACAATCCATTGGGCATTTTAGCCACCGCACTAGTTTATTTCACACCACTATTCTAGGAAGTTCACGTATAGACTAGAGTGTCGGGACGAAGATGTAGGGTTTGAAGCGTCTGCGTGGTGTGAGCTGGACCGGGCTTGTCTCGGAGGTCCGGACGGGGTGGCCGCGCCGCCCTGGCGCACATTCACCGAGCCAGTGGGGCTAGAACCGCGCTAGCAGCCAGGGCCAAAGCGAGAGACGAAGCCAGCGCTGCCCCGCGCGAATGAGACAGCTCCTCGCTCTTAATCACCTCATTCTCGGCTTTGTCATATTTGTGCGTCTTTTTGGTGACCGGTTTGCTTGTTGTCGTCGTCGTGGTCGTCGTGGACGTCGTCGGCGGCGGGGGTGGAGGCGGCAAGGTCGGCTGCGGCGGAGGTACCGGAGACTGATCCTCGGGCTTGCAGCAAACGCGAAAGACCAGCTTCATATTATTCGTTAGACACCGGCCGCCGATGCGTCGATGCAGATCATCCTTGCTGGACGTCGATATGAAATAGTAATCTTTGCCGGGCAGAAACTCCAGTCCGCCCGGCTGAGGTGTGAAAGGTCGAAATGTGATAGTGAAAAACATTAATTTGTGTGGTTTATCGCATATAGCTATAATACGTGGGTTTGGATTCGTTATTCTACACGTATCGTATTCTTCTTTGCTAACATTGTATATTATATATTTCTCGGTATCCTCCTCGTATGTACCGGGTGTATAAACAGGACATATTATGTTAACTTGATCATATTCAAATTGTGCATTTCCTTTATTCAGATCGAAAACGTGATCTGTATTGTCGATCCTGAATATGCTGTTGGTCGTATTCCAGTGGATGTAGAATGATTTAGCGAAGTTACCCATCGCGCTTTCCATGAAGAAAACCAGAACTATAACAGTCCAAGGGGTGTGTCTCAATCCGAAAGAAGTTAGGGTCACCATTCTGACAGGTTTATCAAAGTTTCATTATCCGATCGAAGACACAGAGGATGCGTTCTTACACTTTCCGTATAGCAAACGCACACCGATCCATATTTATTAACAAATACACTTCACCCATACGATTTCCATCGTAATAATATTATATTTATCACATAAAACACAAAGTTTCGTTCACTTTTCAACGCGACAAGTCCACCATGTTTCTCTGTCCGCACGCCAGATTCTATTCATCGATAAATGTGGAATTCCATGGGACGTGGCCCTCCGTGAAAACGCGACTTTAAAACCGTTTTTAACACTGTACAACGTTAGGAGAACGTTATGAAATGCACGAATATACTTTTTGTGTTCATGAAAAGTTCAAATTAATCAATACATCACATTTTTATTCAAAATTAAGGTGTTCTTTGTATTGTGAAGCGGACGCCGCGAAGTAGGATACGTAAGCGCCGCGCGGCGGTCGACCGAACTACTGGGGAATGCAGCCCCGGGCCTGGTACGCATGCGGCCCCCGCCCTTCACCCCGCCGAAACCGGCGCGTTCCGACTTCAAAGCTATACAAGCCCGACGCCATCTTGTTCGAACACTTTTTCTTAAATAAATTATAAACAATCATTCACATTTTAGTCAATTAAGTTTAACTAACAATTTATTTACAACAAAAAAATGTATATTTTTAAATAAGAGTAAATTACTATGAGCAATAGAGCTTTCGTTAAATTGTGAACGCGACTTAAAGAGCCACCATTGAAAAAACCGGACGATCAAGTCAGGGTTCTACGTTGTGGATTGAGCCTACGAGGCGTTTGATATCTCCATGTTAAACTTAATTACCGATATTTAACATAAACATGAAATAAATTATACACAAAAAACAATTAAGCACGCGATATAATCATTCAACACGGCATGTTTTAATTTAAAATTATTAATATTTCTTTGTTTCGCGATTTTTTTTGTTGCGCATTATTTAATATTAAATTAACATTAACCATCAACTAATTAGTGACCGTATTGATTAGGTTTCAACACTTATTGCGACGATAATTTTTATTTAGACGGTGGACTTGTTTTTTGTTTAAAAAATGCAAACTCTATCCGATTTTCAGTTTTCTTTTAATACAATTCATCAATAAAACAGTTCTTATAGTAGGTTCTTACTTGGTAGGATGCATTGCTGTCTAGACATGAAGACAGTATGTTTAAAAACAGTTAAAAACAGCATTACACCTCATACCACCCACGATACAAATTTAAATTTCCTAATCACTACATAGTATAAAACAAAGTCGCTTTCTCTGTCCCTATATCTGTCTGACTCTATGTATGCTTAAATCTTTAAAACTACGCAACGGATTTTGATGCGGAATTTTTTTGTCATGATAATTATATTTTTATTTTATCCAAATTTTAAACTTTAAATGGGTCTCCTGTAAAGTTGCAAAAATGTATCTTAAACCAAACAGCCTTTCACTCCTCGATAGATTATTTTAATATACATATCACTACATAGTATAAAACAAAGTCGCTTTCTCTGTCCATATATCCATATGTATGCTTAAATCTTTAGAACTACGCAACGGATTTTGATGCGATTTTTTTTAATAGATAGAGTGATTGAAGTGGAAGGTTTATATGTATAATAACATCCATTAAATAGTGGAGAAATCAATAATAAATTACAGTTTCCGAAGCGAAGCGAGGGCGGATCGCTAGTATATTACAAATAGCTCTTGTCGTATTTATTACGCATTACTGAAGGAACAAGTTCTTTCGAACATTATCATATCCGTACTAAAAAACACGAGCTCATTATTAACATTGTCAATTTTGTACATAATTAATTGTAATAGGATTTCCCGCAAAGTACCTGGGGTGACCATGATACTGTTAATTCGTAGATAATCCCGGATCTTATTGGTATGTTAAAAATTAAGAAGTTGGACTTGTTATGCTGGAGTGGTGGTAGGTCGCATAGTCTTCTGGCTTATTTATGCTGCATGGCTCGCAGTCAAAACAACAGAGATGTCAGTACCAAATGGCAGGGAAATGAAATGATTTGTCAACGGCTTATGACGTCAGATGCCCTGGTCACAGCTACGTCACCACTAAGATCGCCAGCGACTGTCTACACGTTTTAATCTGAAAGCTTATTATTGCATAATCTTGTACTGAAATTGCGTAAGGAGATGTTCCGACAGAATTGTATAGAAAGAGCTTGTTTTTATTTTTTATGTAAAAAAATACGAGGGTCATATTGTATGCTCGGATAGGTGTACCCATCTTGGCTGTTTCTGGTGGGTTGCGTTCCTTTTTGAAGGTTGAAACAGCCGTTAAACTATACAATCCGGGGCTACACCTGGTGCCTTAAGGTGGGTACCAGTGGATGACTCTATAGGCTCCGATAACTGCTTAAAAATAGGTCAACTGTCAATTGACTGTCAACTGATAATTCTTGTACGCAATTAAATACTACTATTAAGTTAAGTAAACTCTATATTCTAAGGAGCATATTATGTACCAACAAAGTGGTCGAAATATTAATGACTGTTTTTGTATAGTGTTCGTCCAATGACTATTATTATATTGAGGGACGAAAGGTTATCTTATACCTATGATTTATTTTCAGAAAATGTTGTTTTATTCGTGTTTTCAATAATCAACTCTTCCCGACATCTATTGGCGAATAATAATACTATTTTTCTTAATTGAGGGCAACTAACCGCTTTATAGACACAACAAGATGGCGTTATCAAAAAAAAAAACGAGCAAAGCTCGGTCATCATCTAGTTTTGTTTAGGCGATATTTTTGCAACTTCACAGGAAAGCCATTTAATGTTCAAACTTTTAAAAAATTATCATATCAAAGAAAAACTTCAGCTCTTTTAATGACTAAGTAAGCTAAGGTAAGCTAAATTGAAGGTCATTTAAAAACATCGAACTGTTGATGCTATAACCAAATAAACCGTACGCTTATGTAATTAAAAAGATAAATGTCGCGTTAAATTAATTGATAAACGAAAACAAAACTTTATTAGGAACGTAAGGCTGTTGATTCGAAAAAAATCCATTATTTTGTAAATGAAACTATTGTCATCCTACAATGCGTTTCTGTTTCCGCGTGTAGTGACACACTAATACGAATTATACATTTCCGACAAACCATATAACAGACGAAACGTCAAAGCTCCTGTAATGAGGACGGGGGGAAAGGGAGTAGAAGTGGGGGGTAGAAAGGGGGAGCCAAGTGTATCCCCTCCCCACTCATGATTTACGCGTTATTATTGAAATCGTAGGCATTGTTGGAACGATAATTGGTTTTTTTTTTTTTAATGAATCACTTTGGGTTGTAGCAATGTTGAATTCACTCAGCATTTTCCTCAACCACTGAAAGCTTCTGAGCGAAGTTTCTTGCGCGGCTTTATAACGCATTAAAGCGTTACTACTGGTGGTAGGACCTCTTGTGAGTCCGCGCGGGTAGGTACCACCACCTTGCCTATTTCTGCCGTGAAGCAGTAATGCGTTTCGGTTTGAAGGGTGGGGCAGCCGTTGGAACTATANCGTGAAGCAGTAATGCGTTTCGGTTTGAAGGGTGGGGCAGCCGTTGGAACTATACCTTAGACTTATGTCCCAAGTGGGTGGCGCATTTACGTTGTAGATATCTATGGGCTCCAGTAACCACTTAACACCAGGTGGGCTGTGAGCTCGTCCATCCATCTAAGCAATAAAAGAAAAAAAGTATGGTTTTTCGAAGCCGAAAACTCATATCATTATTTATTTTTTTAACCGCCCACCACCCGCCTTCTAAGGTCTCAGTACAACGGCTGCCCTACCCTTCAAACCGAAACGCATTACTGCTTCACGGCAGAAATAAACGGAGTGGTGGTACTACTGTCATATTAGTCATTGTTAAAAAATTTCAAAACAACTTAAAAGTTTGTTGATTGTATCTTCCACATACAGAAAACAATCACATAAAAATATAAGCAAATTTTAGCATTATACAACGTCAGATAAATTTAATAAAAGATAAAAGAGTATTGTTTGAAATTTCACAATGCATTAGTAACACGAAACCTACGTGTTTGTTTGTTTGTATCATTGATAGCCAACGCGGGCTAAGACAGACGTCACACCGAACGCGTTGATATAGAGAGATATAAATATTTTATTGCACTAGAGTTCCAGAAACAAATCACGAATTCTCATGGGTTTTTTTTTTATTGCTTAGATGGGTGGATGAGCTCACAGCCCACCTGGTGTTAAGTGGTTAGTGGAGCCCATAGACATCCACAACGTAATTACGCCACCCACCTTGAGGTATAAGCTCTAAGTTACAACGGCTGCCCCACCCTTCAAACCGAAACGCATTACTGCCTCACGGCAGAAATAAGCGGGGTGGTGGTACCCACCCGTGTGGACTCACAAGAGGTCCTACCACCAGTAAAAAATAACATGGACGTAATAAAGTGAATGCTAATGCCGAATGAAATCATCAGACATGAAGTCTATGTCTGAATTTGATTCCATCATGCTCTCCCAAGCTGCACGGGTTACTAATTCGCGGCAGAAATAGGAAGGGCATTGGTCCCTACTGGCAAATACTTTCCAACGGTAAGCACTAGTTCAAGATCACAGTATGCTGGTGTAATATTCAGAGGACGCTGCTGCCCACTCTCTGGTTGAACCTTTACCATTTTGAGATATCCTCACGGAGATGGAGCCATTGTGTAAGCCTCACCACACATAAAATATTCACTGTCATTACGTAAGAATAAGACGTCCTGCTGTACCATTACCCTGTCGGTTTTTTTGAACACAAAGGGCTGAAATATGCTTACCGTGTACCTCTAGAGTTTAAATTTCGGACGGTCGTAAGAATCAGTCTCTTCTGATTCGTGATCCAAGCTACACTTAATCTAAGTCATATAATTTCAATCCTAATTTGTCTCCTTTCTAAGTTTCATATAGACTGATCTCCAAATTTTATATAAACGTTCTAATTAATTCTAGTGTTTAATAGTTTAACTCACAGACACAGTCCACTGAGTTTCTCGCCGGATTTTTTAAGTGGGTCGCGTTTCCGATCCGGTGGTAGATTCTGCGAAGCACTGCTCTTGCTAGGGCTAGTGCTAGCAACGTCCTCAGGTTCGAGCCCCGTGAGCTCACCTACTCGCTCGGTTACGCTGACATGACCCTAGGTTACCAGCTTGGGTAGAAAAAAAAGTTTTTTTTAAAGACTATTACGGAACCCTCCCCCCTCACTGTGTTGTTTTTCATTCTATATGATGTATTTATTTGGCTATAAACATAATATATATACAAGAATGCAACAAAAAACAAAACTGAGCTGACTCTAGCTGTTCTTCGGGATATCTTCGAATTTGACGTAAACTTCAATTTGATATTATTTTTCTAAATATGCAGGGCTGCTGGCAAAATTTGGATAA